TAATAATAATAATAATAATAGGTTGGTGGTTGAAGTGTGGGGGGGTGAAGAATGTGTGAGGGTACAGTGTCCTCTCCTTTCTCTCCGTGCTTTAGTTTTAGTTTTAGTTAGTGTTTTACGGCACTTGCAACACAATAAGGTCATATAAGTGCCGCAGATTAGATGTGTCACAAGAGAGTAACAAACACAAAAAAGAAGGAGGGGAGATAAAGGCAATAGATGTTTGATAGGAAAGAAGGAGCAAACCACACCAGAGCACCCGCCAACCACCCACGTGTGTGTGTGCGAGCTCGTTTGTGGCACGGGTTCTTTACCAGTCTGTGAGTGCCACTGTCAAGCTAGCTTGTGTGATGCTATTTTTAGTTTCCATTCTGTTTTGGTTTGGTTTTGTTGGTTGTTGTTTGGGTTTTTTAAAACATATTTTTTGCTTTTTAGTGGCTGTTTTTTGGGGGGAGGGGGGTATTTTAATTTTTTTTAAATCTTGCTTTGGTTTAGTAGAAGTTTTACGGCACTTGTAACACGATTAGGTCATAAAAGTGCCGAATATTTGAGGAGTAACAAGGTAGTAACAAATACCAAAAAAAGGAGGAGAGATCAGGATGATAAAAGTTTGATAGGAAAAAAAGAGGCAAACCACACCAGAACACCCGCCAGCCACCCACAATCCTACTTTTCGAGTATTTGATGGGAGGAGGGTCAACAAAACGTGGAGTGTGGTTCATGTGCGCTTCCATGTGTTTTTTAGTTTAGTAAGAGTTTTACGGCGCTCGAAACTGCACAAGGTCATATGAGCGCGCTCTTCCAAGTGTGTCAGCGTTAGGTAAGACACGAACTTTTTTTAAAACTTTCGTAAGAGTTTTACGACACTTGCAACACAGTAAGGTCATATAAGTGCTGAAGAATAGATTATGTGTTACAAGAGAGTAACAAACACAAAAAAAGAAGGAGGAGAGATTTAGGACGATAGATGTTTGATAGGAAAGAAGGAGCAAACCACACCAAAGCACCCGCCAACCACCCATAGACACGAACTGGCGATGGACTAACGTGCACGTAGCCTGCACATCTTTTTCGCCACTTTTCTTTCTATCTTTTTTCTTTTTTAAACAGATTTCCGCAGGTGGTTTAGGCTTATGTAAAACAAGGTTAGATCTCCCACGATATGTTCTAGCTTATGTAAAAGCTGTCTGACAGAGCATGATGGCCCGATTTCCACGCCTGAGTGCGATGGTCTTATGGCTGCCGACCTTGTTGAGATATGAATGT